AAACAAGAAATGAGAGTCGAATGAGTAAGAAAAAGCGAAGAAAAGGTGGAAAGTTTGAAAGAAGAAGAGGGATAAGAAATGATTATATAGAAAGAAGAAGGGAAAACCAGGGGCCATTTGGAAACAGAGTAACTGGTAGGCTTAAAAGGAGTGTTGATTCTGGGGGAGAAAGGGTTGGAGGCCCCTAAGATTGAGAAGAAACCGGTTTGGGGATTCGGAAACAAGTGGTGAAATTTGATGGATTTTGTTGCATGGGTGTGTGAACATGCCCTAAACGACACCCAAATTTTTTTTTTTTCTTATTTATTATTATTTTTTTCCACAAAGACAAAAGAGAAGCTAACGTCGTTGACGAAGAATGAAGAAACGAGCTATAAACGCCTTGATTATGAAGGATTGAAACAACGTCTTGATGGGTTTTCTCCATTTTTGGAGACAGTTGGAAAACAATGTTGTTTATAATGATTATGGTTAACATTTAATCCACGAGGTCTTGGTTAAGATAGTGGCAGAGATGTCAATTTACTCTATGGATTGGGGTTCTGTTCTATGAGAACCTATTCCGAATGGGATAGAGAATGAAGAGATTGTGAGAAGAGATTTCTCTTCGTTAGACAAACGGATATGTTAATTTACTCCACGGAGAGCTCTATGAGGACCCACTTCGTATGGGATAGAGAATCTTTGTTTAATAGAGATTTCTCTCCGTTAGATAAACAGAGATGTCAATTTACTCTACGGGTCGGAGCTCCAAAAGACCTCCCCTAAACGGGATGGAGAATCTTTGTTTAATGGAGAATGACGAGGGAGTGGGAAGAAATTTCTTTCCATTAAATAAACGGGGCTGAGGACAAATAATTTAGCTGGAACGGGAAATGAAAAAGAGGTATAGATACGATGAAAAAGGTTTTTCGGTCCCTACTCAGTGGACAGTTCTAACTCGGTTGTTTTGTGTTTTTGTAATGGGTAAATTATACTTTTTTAAAATTGGTCGGTTTAAATATGTCAAGTCTAGCTATGAATGATAATAAATAAATTATTGTCTAATTATGTGAGATGTTTTTTACTTCAATTTGGTCATTTTATTTTTTACTTACCATTTGTTTGCGATGGTTAAATTTGGTATTTACATAATTCTCTTTTTTTAATTATTTTATTTAACAATAATTTAAATTTATTAAATAAATTATTATTAAGAAATAAGATATTTAAATCTATGATTTCTTAATCGAACATACATCTAAATCAGTTCAGTTATGTTCAAATTGAGATGAATTATCCTATGATTTAAAAAAAAATGAAATTTTTTTTTAAATTAAAATATTTTTTTGTGTAAGGATTGAAAATAGTCTAAAAATAGTATATTATTGTAGATTACTATATAATCTTAAAATTTGGACAATTTATTTAAGTTTGCTATATATATATATATATATGAAATCTACCTAAATTTGTCACCACACAAAATAATAATGATAATAATAATAATAAATAAATAAAATAATAATAATAATGATGATAATGATAATGATAATAAAAAAAATATAAATTTTAAATAGGGATAAATTTGTCCCCACACAAAATAATAATGATAATAATAATAATAAATAAATAAAATAATAATAATAATGATGATGATAATGATAATGATAATAAAAAAAATATAAATTTTAAATAGGGATAAATTTGTCACCACACAAAATAATAATGATAATAATAATAATAAATAAATAAAATAATAATAATAATGATGATGATAATGATAATAAAAAAAATATAAATTTTAAATAGGGATAAATACTTTTTTCTTGCTATTGATAATAATAATTTTTATTGTGGAGTAATAAAAAAAAATTCCATCAACACTTTTAAATACTTTAAAATGGTTTTTTTTTTTCACTAATTATTTATTGGCTATATCAATTTACATAAATGATAAAATAATTTTTATCATTTTATATTGATATGACAATAATTGAAAATTAAAAAAAAAAAGAGTAATATTTGTTTTAAAAAATTGGATTGAAATGATTGTTAATGAATCAAACTGGTTTTAATATAATATAATATAATATAATATAATATAATATATATATATATATATATATATATATATATATATATATATATATAACGAATTACATTTTTTTTTAAAATAATAATTAAAAAAAAACCAAACTGTCGGAAAATTCGTTAATTTCAGACATCATCCATTTGTCTTGCAGACATGTTTCTCTCTCCCTGCAGCTTTTTCTTTATTTTAAAATGAGGGACAAAAAAGTAATTTTGCTCCATTTTGTTAAATTTTAAAGTTTATTTTAAATTGTCGATCTTTCAAAAGTATCAAAGGGTCGTTGAGTTTTCAATTGCGTCAAATAAATCTTTCAACTTTAAAAAGTATTTAATAACTTTTTAAATTTTTAGTTCGGTATCTAATAGCTCCTTACCAGATTTATTGTAACAATCCATACCCAAAATTCGAATTTGGCACTTCTGACGTTTTTATGATTGAGCCACTGAAAAAGTAAGTGCAGACACTGACTTTCAATTCTTTTAAGTGTTACTTAGTCATTCTATCATTGGGATGACTCTCATTCAAATATGGTCTCAGTTCATTCATGTACTCCTCGTTTATTAGAGTATCACGTTTATTAACACAAAATTAAAAGTTTAGAGTACTTTTAAGATAAAAACTTTAATTTTGTATCTAATAGATCAATTAATTTTGATAAACTTCGAATATATTAGAGAATTATCATACTCGGGAGCTTCCACGGCAAACAAAAATTTATTTTGTCGCAATTCTCGTAAAATTCTTATCCTTTTGGCAAAATGAGTACGATATGTATGCTTATCCTTAGAAAAAGTGAAAATGTGACACATTCCCATCCCATGCATTTTTACGTTTTGTCTTTAAGCTTCCCAACAACACCATATTTCATCATTTATGTTTCGTTATGTTTTGTCTGGTCTAAGTTTTTATCGTCGCAAAACATTAAAGTTCGTTGACGAAAGGATATATATCAAAATATATTTTATCAAATTTTAATTGGATGAAATTCACGTGTCTAGCATTATAAAAAAAATAAAAATAAACTCATAAAAAATATCACTTTCACTTACAATAATGAATACGAAACAATTCGATGGATTAAAAAAATATTAAGTTAAAATATCATTTTAGTTCCTATATTTAGATTATCCACTCTCAAATATCTAAATTTAATCTTTGTATCATCGTTATATTTTAAAATTAATTTTTATTGTTAAATTAAAGTTAATTTTTATCGAAATTAATTAAAGAACAGTAATATTTTTGGACATTAATTAACATAGTTGTTTTTAAGCTAAATTACTAAAATGGTTTAATTTGCACTTTCTCAAAATAATATATATATATTTTGGTAAATTTTCAAAAGTTTCAATAAAAAATATTCTTACACTCAAAAATAAATTTAAAAAATACTCTTATTCTATTTTCTTTTTTTCCAAAAAAAATACTTTTAATATCCCATATCCAAAAGTTTTCTTTTTAAAAAAAAATAATAATAAACTTCAAAAATACCTTTAATTTTTTTTAAATACCTTATATTTCAAAAATAACATTAAAAAATATAATTTGTGAGGGATAGATATATGGTTTTCGTCTATTTATCGATGGTATTTTTTTATTTAACTTTTATTTATGAAGGTAAATAGGGTTAATGCTACTCTTAAATTTTCCTGAGTAATTTAGTATTTTTTATTTTTTATTTTTTTTAAAGAAAAGTATTAATAAAATTTTTAAGCTTTTTAAAAAAAATTTGAAATAAAGTAGTAAGATGAAATGAGCTATCCAAAATAATTGTAAATGTGCAAAATTTAAATTAACTTAATTTTTTTTTTTTTTAACTACAATTGACCCATTTAAACTATTTTATAAAACAAGACTCAAAATTTCATGTTTTATTATTATATTTTGAGCAACCCAAATTTCACCTATTAAAAGATATTTTTGATTTTTGGGTGAATAATTTAATCTTCTAATTTTTTAATCCATAATAAATATTTTATATTAATTGAAATATGATTATATTTATATTTAATATTTTTAACTTTTGGGTGAATAATTTAACTTCTAATTTTTTAATCGATAATAAATATTAATCAATAATAAATATTTTAATCGATAATAAATATTTTATACTAATTGAATTGTCACCCTTGAATTTGAATACATATCAACACTTATATTAATAAAACATAAGGTTTTATTTAAACTATTGACAATATACTAGAAAAAGTTGTTTTTATACGATTAATAAATCAATATCTTGAAATAAATTTACCAATGTTGATAACTAATATTATATTTAAAATCATTCTATTAGTAATATTAACATATTGAAATAATAAATTTTAATGAGTATAATACATCAGAATTAGTGTTGATATACTAATGAGATACTTCAAATATACTAATGGATCACGAAACGTAATACTATAATTGAATTTTGTACTGCATGTTATTATTAAAATCGTGTTAAAAATGAATGTGATGAAAATGACGAAAAATTAAGTTTCTAAATAATTTAAAAGTCAAGTTAAGATCGACTTTGGAAGTGATTAGAGGTAAATCAGACATTTTTAGTTTCGTAAACATAGTTTTTTTTTATTACTTTAAGCATTAAGAATACATTTTAAAGACATCTTATAAAAAAAAACAATAATAAACATGTAACTTAAGGAATCTATTAGACAATTTCATTACCAAAGAAAAACCTATAGAGGAGAACCAAGGCACCAAAAAGTCCTGTAAGATCATGAAATGTTACAAACAAAAGCCTAAGCATCAACAAGAAGCTGCATCTCCAGAACAAAAACTATAGCTGTAGAAGGGAGTTCTAAAGATTACCTGAAAACTTTTGAGTTATTGCGCACTTCAAAAGCGAAGCTCGACTGAGGGGAGGACACCCTCAAAGCGAAGCTCGACTGAGGAGAGGACACCGTCAAAGCGAAGCTCGACTGAGGAGAGGACACCGTCAAAGCGAAGCTCGACTGAGGCGAGGACACCATCAAAGTAGTAGCTGTTCTTTCTAAGTAGACTATTTAGTATGTAGTTGTTTGTCTTTTAGATGGCAGTGAGACCACCAGAAGTGTAAACACTGAGAGATCAAATTAAAGCAGCCTCAATTTGTACCTTCCTTACCGAACCCATCGAACAAATACGAACACAGCTACGATGGTTAAGATCATGCCTGCATATTTGATCCAATTATCAACTCGGTGCCGTCTCTCGATGAGTTTCAGGACGGTATTCGAGAGCCCTACTGTGTTAAGGACATCAAGTGCCTTCCTTTGTGCTCTCTGATGCACAAAAATAAGGGAATGAATATGAGAGAAATGGATGTATAAGAGAGAAGTGAGGAAGCCAATTAAGGCAATAAAGGCTGTAGTAAAGTAGCTGTGGATGCCATTTCAACCTACCGTAGTCTATAATGGCATGTTTCACTATGAGAAACAATCAAATCTTTTATACAGAAAACAATGATAATCATAGCACTATAAAAAAAAAAAAAACCTTTTTTTGAATGTTGGGCCACAAGGTTTCTTTTATAAAGAAACACGGTCCGAATTGGGTTGGGTTGAGGGATTTTTTTTTGGACCAACCCAAAAGTTCGAGTTGGTTAGATTGGTTCGGGTTGAATGTACACCGCTAAAAGAAACAATGATAGCCATAAGCTATATTGGTGTAATCCTTCATTATAAAATTGCTAATCTCGCAGAGTAGAAATTTATATCACAAAGGAATCTTTATCCAATCTTAGATACTAATTACACACTAAAAAAGAAAACATAAGTCATCTTTTATAAAGAAACTAGGGGTGTACACAGTCCGAGTCCGAGTTGGGTTGAGTTAAGAGATTTTTTTGGACCAACCCAAAAATTCGGGTTCGTTGGATTGGTCCAAGTTGTCAGGTTGAATGTACACCGCTAAAAGAAACAATGATAGCCATAAGTTATATTGGTGTAATCCTTCATTATAAAATTGCTAATCTCGCAACTAAAACAGAAAACACAAGTCACGCACACCGAAATTTCTATATTACATTTTTTTTTTCACACAATCTAATCATAGGTCACACGAACTCGGACTTCACCAGCTAAAACTTATTAAACCCTGTGAGAAACATTCTTTTAGAGTCCTTAATAAGCATAACACACATGTCCTTAAGCCAATCAAAGTGATTTTTAATCCGGGAGAATCTATAACTGCCAAAATATGGACAAAGACTCGAGTAAAAATTCACGAGTAAACTAAAACTACCAAAAATGATTCATACTTCCAAAACGATCATAACTCAAAGGCGCCATACATGCAGCTATCTCCTAAAGCTACAAGAGACTATGAATATAGAATAGAATCCTTAGCCTATTCACATTTAAAGGGAATACATTATATATCCATAGTCTTTCAAAGATTTCTTTAACAATTGAAGGTAGCCATAGCCAAAAAAGATCAATCTACATGCAGTCAGTTATGCACATACCTTCAGCCGGTCCCTTTGCTCGGAGTATTTGAAAAGGATTGCTTCTCCGGTCGCACTAGCTTCCTCTATCATCCGCGATGAATTTCGAACGGAATTCATGGCTTGTGCCTCGTCGTCAAAAATTCTTAAAATGTGAGCAGAGTCACCATTCTACAAAAGCAAGACCAAAAACAACTTAAAATGAAGGATTAAAGAAGGGGTTCAGCAACCAAAAGCCACAAGTAGCTAACAATTAGTACATACAGCTCTTCCAAGCAATTCTGCCCTCTCTTTTGCTTCCATCATTCGCTTCTGGTTTCTTAGAAAATAATTGTCTAAGCTTTGTTTCATAGAATCAGCCTCCTCGGCAACCTGTTCCACCTTTCTGCAGGACAATTCCCAGTTGAAACACATCAAGGTTGCGCCTTATCGAATTGGAAATAAGTCGTAAGATTATCCATAATCACAATCAAATCAAATCCCATATTGTAAAACGTTTGTCAATTATAATCCGAACCAAATTCAATCCTGGAACCAAAAGAGCATACTATTTCGTTTCTCTTTTTCCTTGTATGGAAGCAACAATGATTTACAGAACATGACATCCACCAGTTTTGAATAAATTAACAAATCAAGGAATTCAGAATGAATAACCAAATGTTCAATAAAACAAATAAATGGCATCTGATTCTAAATTCGATCCGGAAGATGAACATCAAATGACATGAAACCATACAGTTACAAATTCAATCAAAGGTGGGAATGGAACAAAAACCTTTTCCATAAATCACGCTGAGACTTCGCCGCCACGGATCGCCAGAGTCTATCCATCTCAACACAGAGCGACTGGATCTGAGTAATATCCCTCTTGATCGAGGTGGAAAGGTCGGAAGAGTCCATGCTACTGGCAGCCGTGTACTCAAGACGCTCCAATTTCTCGAGCTCATCTCTGGTCCTCAACAGCAGCCTCTTCGCACTATGGTATATCTCCGAAAGCGTACCTCCTCCTCCTCCTTCCAAGGCAGACATCAGAAACACACAAAGACGAATCGCGATTTCGGTTTCGTCAAATCTGAATTCCGAAATGAAGAAAAAGAAGAAACGGAATTGCAGAGCGCAAATCAATCTGAAAACCCGAGAAATTTTGATTGTCGTAAGGCAAATGAGAGAGGAATCGAAGATCGAATAGAAAAGGAAGAACAAAGATCTCTCTCTCTCTCTCTCTCAATGGAGAAAGGAAGAAGACGAAGAAACCAGACCGAAATTACTTCGCTAAGGAAAACAAAACGACGCCGCATTGAGGACGGTGACGTGGCGTATATCAACCGTCGATGTCTACGTCTTTTGTAATGAATGGATCAGATTGAACGAGTGCGATCACAGGCCTAATGAAGGTTTCAAAAATGACATGGACAAACCAATGGAAGGCCGCCAACTCATACAGCCTTTGACGTGGCGTTGTTCTGATCATTTTTTTATTTTCATTTTTTCTTTCTTCCTTTTATAATTTATTATTATTATTGTCATTTATTTTTTTAACTAACTATAATATATAATTAATTAACCATTAAACTTGCTTATAATTTTAATAAAATTCTTTATTTGAGAATAATTATTAACATTATCTACACTTATGAATGAAAATTATTTTAATAATTTGATTTAACAATTAATTATCTAAAGTTAAGTAAAAACCAAATAAAAAAATTATTATTTATATAAAATTCAAACATCATTGGCATACAAAAACATTAAAGATTTAACTTTCAAACACTTTATTCCGAACATCCTATTCCCAAACATTCTCAAGTATTTTAAACAAAACCCGAGACCAAGACGACCCCTATAAGTAATGTATCCAACCCGACAAAAAATTTGCATTATATTCATTGAAGTTTATACAATTTTCGCTCGATAACATGTTGAGATTTACATTCGTGAACAATAAGGAACATAAATTGCTGAACTATATTGGTGTGGTGTCTACGAAACGAATTTTAATAAACGAGTAACAATTTCACCTAAAACTTCCAATTAACACATACAAAATTGTGTAATATGTTCACCAAAAACTTCCAAATCAACTCTAATAAGACGAAAATTGGCTTATAAACCCCATGGTAACCCAAGAATTGACAAGATCAATAATAAGAACAATTTCCTAAGGTGGCGTATGAGCTCGATAATTTGATCAACTCTATTTGTTCCTAAAGGTCGACGACAAATCTGTAGTGTAAAAAAAAAGAAGACTCAACTGTAAGTTGTTCGAGAATAGTAGCGTAACCCTTTGCTACCCTTTGCCTAAGTTTCGGTTATGGACGTCGACAAACTGGCATCCCTAGGGGTGCCCAATTCTTCACACTTGTGTTGTGTGTATATCATCAGTATAACTATGATTTGACAAGGAACAGAGATAATCGTAATGACCATTATAATCTAAGATTAGAACCCCTTGGCAAACTGAAAACAAGCAAAATCACTCTTTCAACGCTATTTAATAGACTTTTTACTCTTTCCATTTTAATACTTTGAAATCTTTTGGACTTGTAATACCGTCTGTAGTTTACAGAGTAAAAATCACTTACATTGATTTAGCGGAAAGTTGCACTTCGGTTTCCGGTAGCAGGGAAGGCATGGCGTCGTTTGCCTTGCGGTAATTCCACGCTTTCACTGTTCTTGTGAACTCGATTCAGATCTAAATCTGACTTTGCCCCAGTGTTCTTCGATGCCTTCGGATCTTTGTCGTCCTCACGTTTCGAGTCTTCCTCCAAATCTTCTCCAAATTCTATTTGTTTCCTTGCTGCTTCGTAGTCGAACGGTTTGATCTGCAAAAAACCACTTTGTTTTCCTGAATCGTCAGTTTCTTGAAGGTTCATAGCTTGTTCATTAGAATTCAAACATTTTTGAAAGCTAGAAGACAATTCGGACAGAGACATTGGTTCGTCGTCGTTGTTGTCGTCGTCGTCGTCTATTTCAAGAGGTGAACTAGCACTAAAACCTTTCAACTTTGGCTCATCGGTGGCTGCTTCTGCAACAGGATGCAATTCTTCGTCTTCGTCATCTGAATCATCTTCCAACATGATAATCTCATCTGTTGGGCAGGGTTTTGAGACTGGCATTACAGGTAGCTCTATATTCGAGCTTTTTGTCGACTCGGCAGCAGGTGCTTCGGAATTTTGAGCTTTTAATGCAGTCATGGTGGTTGGTTCTACAACGGACTTTAATGGTTCACTCGTTCCCAAGAATGAATGAAAGGGTAGAGTCACAGAAGATCGGATTTTATCCAACTTGTTCTCTTCCTTGTCCTAGTAAAAATAAGCGATACCAATGAGGCAGCAACAGGAGAAGAACTAAAAGAAATGGTATCTTACATGTAACACCAAAGGACCCTACCTTTGTATCAGTATCTAATTTTCTCTTTGGGGCCGAGTTTCCCAATAGCGAACCAAGACCGCCTCGGTTAGTTTTCTTTTGCAACGTAATGTTCACTCCAGTAACCTTAAACAGGGAATCATTTAGAACATAGATCTCAAGCAAAGAAACCAATCAGACACAAAAGCAAGTTCTAATTAGTCTCTAACCATGGTTAATTAGATATACTTCAATACCTGCGCTACCGGGTATTTATCGCCATTGGAATGTTCGCCCAGCTCCGATGTCGTTGGGCCCATCCCATTCAGAACAGGATGCATTGAGTGGTCTACCATTACACATTTTCCAGGTACAAAGGGCCGGTATCCATGTTCCAAGGGAGCAACTTTAGACTGAGAAGAGGACGAACAGATCTGATCACTGGCAGTATTATCAACAGCACTGTCTTTCACAATTGGGATTGCGTATCTCAAATTCGAAGTATCGGGCATATTAGTTTCTTGATGTTCATTAGCTGATGTGTTTTCTTCTGATGCCTGTCATGTAAACAACATATCAACAGCGAAGGCAAGAGAATGTTAAAAATATCAATATCAGCAACCAAGAAAAACGAAAGAATCATATATATATATCCAATCAACAAGTAATGAAATCAAATATGCAAATGAAAAGGTAATCATCTGCAATCTTCAAAGGAAACAAAGAGAAATTTGTCTGATATTATCGTGGTTTCCAATGGCTCAAAAATGTATCCGTTCATTCTACTAATGGGTCGTTTATACGAAACGGGGTTGCTTCATGAAAACGGGCTACATGTACTAGAAAATAATATACAGATACACATAGTACATAAAATCCTAGTCAGCATAAACAAGAAGCCCTCCGTTCTATTTTATGAAAAGGCGATGAACAACAACAATTAACAGATACATTAAGACTTGCAAACCGTTATACAACTTCAAACTATTAGTCTGCCAATACCCTCATGCTACCAAAATGAATTAGTTGAGCTCTTTTAATTAAGAATAAATCTCAGAAGCCAGAACAACATTCCTCCATATCTACTCTAGACGTAGAATAAAGCCGGTGCCTCCAGGAATAGATGTGTTCCCTTCATCTCATTTAAACAACTAAATAATTCTAGCACTAATCATATAGCTAAACACCATGAATTAATTGAAGTTCAGGCCCTTAAAAACCTAGGGAAATGTTCTCGAGTCTATTAAGTTAGTAACAAAAACAGCATGAGGTTACAAGCACAAGCCTTACCGCCTCGGTACGGACTTCCTTCAAACGCTCAGCAGCCTCTTCAAATGCACTTGAATTCAGCATCGAATGCCTAATGATGGTAACAATTGAAGCAAGATTGCGCTCAATGAATGAATGCTTTGATTTCAGTAATCTACGTAATTTGTTAATGGTGACAGGCATCTGCTTGGCTTTAACAATAAGAAAACTATGTTAAAATTCTGCAGTAAGCCACAAAAATAAGATTATTTCTAACAACAAATGCCAGCATAGGTTTCCCAGTTACCGATTTCCAGAAGCGTTTTGTTTGGCAGTATGTAACCAGTACTTTCATCCTCTGCACGAGCAACAATATCTCGCCACTCAAAGAGACTCTGTCACATTGAAAATAAAGGATATTTACTTCCAGCAACATAAATTAAACAGGACATATGATCTAGCCTCTAACCAATTAATTTCATTTCTAAGAAGAACGCGTTACTTTCAAGCTGGAGTAATGGTACTCCTGTCAAGTGGAAAATGACTCAAATCTTTTTGAGTGTTAAGTGGAAAGGTGACCACAAGACTAAAACCTTCTTCCTGGCAGATTCTACCAAGAGTGCTGGACTGAAATGAACTAGAGTTGGAACCTCAAGTTTAGAGGAAAGTTGTCAGACACTGAGCATGACGAACGGGTTTGTAATAGTAATCCCTCCATTATTTATGTCCGTGGGGATTCTTCTAATTTCATTAGCAAATTGGGTGGACTTCTAAACCCCATTTATTGTATAAAAGAAGTAAGATATTTGTATGAGGTCTTCACCCCTGTTAACTTCCTGATGCAGATATATTATGCATAGAATGTAAAGTGTAAGAAAGCTTACAGCAGCAACAGCAAGCTGTTGAGCATTGAAACCAGAACCCTGCAATCTATATTAAAATTAACAGAAATTAGGACGTTTCTTACAAATACTTAAAAGTTCCACTAAATGCAAGGAGAAAAGAAAAGGAAAATTCACCAGCAGGAGCAAAAGTGAACAACTGTAAATGGTAATGTTCTTTTTGCTGAAGAATGAAGAAAACTTACCCGTATACGTAAAAATATGAACTTTCTGTCAAAAGCTCCTTCTCGTAAAGATGCAGGCATACGTCATAACTTCGCTTGTAGACCTATGAAAAACAAGGTAGCTTCATCAAAAAGGTAAAGCGATGCTATATACCTTCAGCCACCTCAGAGCAGAAAATTAAAGGTGATTTCCTATATTGAACCACACTGATCCGTATGAGAAAACATGGAGTGCAACCTTTTCTCTTAGGACAATATGAAGTGCAACTTGATTGAGTTTGAAATATTACAGGCAGCAAACCAATATCAATACAAAAAAAGATATAGATCCCCATATGTCAAAGCGTGAGTGAAAAAACAAAACAGATTTCATAATGTTATAGGTCAAACCTTATCTGGCAGAATAAGTCCTAAACTGGAATTTTAAAAATGCTGGCTATGGAGATTGTGCAACCTGTAATTGTTACTTCCATACTTGTAGCAACATCATACTTTTGAACATTGACAGAATAAAAGAATAAATATAATCATAATCCAGGAGTATATACGCTTTTCCATCAGCTCTACATAATATCTCTTAGCTTAATGAAATTCATTCAGATTCCAAGATTTTTTTGAAAACCATATCACATTGGAAAAGGAAAAAAAAAACTCAACATATGTTTATGCTATCATTTAAGTGGCTAAAATTCACTTCCGATCTTGATGAACTCATTAAAAACACAAACATTGTTTACGATCTCAGTTGCCAGTAGCTTTAAAGAGATCCTACAATTTGTAAGGCAACCATGAAGGTGGATCAATATTAGCAGAACGCTGAGGATATAGGTAGCTGAACAAAGCTCAACCACATTTCCCTAAAATCCAATTTTTTCTGGATTTTTTTAACAAAATAGCATAAGATGTAGAGCAACTATACCTCTACCAAAGGAAGATCAGATTCTTCAGATTCACGGGGCATTGAGGACAGCTTCTTCCTCATCAAATCATAAATATATAGCAAATAATGTGTATCTTCCCTTGCATATCTGTGATTAAAAGATATCGAGTTAAATGAAAGTGAATAAGGATACAACAAAATAATGTACAATCAAAGAAAACTTCAAGCAATACCACACGCTTTAAAGCATTTACACTCTCACTTCGGTAATTTGCTCGATGCATCCAAAAAGAATACTAATTACACCAACTACCCTTACAGAAGACTCCATATGAGAAAATTTCATTGATCTTTTAACTCGAGCATCATCGCAGACTAGCACCCTATTTTCTCCTAACAGAGATTGTTTTAACTGTAGATTACGGGCTTTAAGATTTTATAACATTTATTTTGTCTCATTCTTCAAAGTTCACAATAAAAATTGTCAAGTGCATCCACGCAAAGACTACTAGAGGGAAAAATAAAACAATAGAATACTATTCATCTTCAAAGAGAAAAAAATATAAACAAAGGTGTACTACTAGGGGGAAAAAACTACATGGCAAGAACAAAAGACATTTATACCTCAGCATCTCCTCAGGAAGAGGTCTTAATCTCCAGTCTGCATTCTGGTACCTGTAACAAGTTTTAACTGTTAAAGCAACAAAAAAGACCCATCCACGCACACAGCATCCAGATGCTGAGAGAGAGTCCCTACTCTTTATTAGCTGCAACACCACAAAAGTGATGAAGGAGATACTCCAGACTATTTCTTTCCAGTTTCAAAACTCTTGAAGCCTGAGGAAAAAAAATGTGAATGTACATGTCGAAAGTTATTCGTTCTCTGCAAGTTAAGATACAAAGAAAGAAGACCCTGCATCCCCAAAAGAAGTCTAAAGCTAGACAATCCTTGAAAAGATAATCATAAATCAACAACTTATCCAGGAAACAAAATCCAAGGCCACTAAGCCAAGCATAACAAGTAGAGCTTTATTTGATGGCTGGAAAAGCAGGCAAAACCTGTAAAAACCATTAAACTTGGAACATTGACATAAGGATACACCCAAGCAAAGAATATAGTTTCAAAAAATGATTGCTAAGTTTGATGAATTTTTTTTATAATCAGAAATTCAGAGACGCTCTAGTTCCTATACTCAATGGAAAAAACTGTATTAAATTATCTGGATACCTCTGAAAAAAACTATAGCCAGAAGTTGCCTAATTTGTGAAGACAAAGAAGAAGGGGATGATAAAAGAACAAAAATAGAAACTTGCGTGGTAATTCAATGATATTAAGATACTAATGTAAGAACTAAAGCACAAGTGCAGAGAAAGGAAGAATAGGTAGATACTGTAAACTGACAACCATTTTTTTCAGGTAGATAAACAAATCAAAAAGACAAAAGGATATGAGGGCAAAACCTCCCAAGTCCACTAAAATGCAAGTAGGGACCTCAATTAAATGGGGGAAAAAAGGGATAAAGGTCCCATACTATTTACAATTAGCTTGGGTATAACGAACTATATGCATCTGAGGGAATAAGCTCATGCAAGAACCTAGGAATGAGATTGTAACTTGCAGACCATAATCCAAATGTAGACGTAAGAGAATTTGATAAGAGTGATAACCATAAGAGGACAAAAGAAACATAACAAATACTTGATAATGGCTTTAAAAACACCACCTGCCCAGTGTCAAATAAGTTGCAAATATAAATCCCAAAATCCCGTTGAAGCCACACAACGTCTCGGTCTGCTCCATGCAGCACCTAAATGAGTATAAATATTACAATAAAACCCCCACGAAAACTAAAATGACAACAAAAAAACATTTCTTCTCACAACGTTTACCTTTCTCTTTGAAGGATCCTTGAAAACCTCTCTCAAATAGGGCCCCACATGAATTCTAAGCTTCAATGTATCAACTACAAAATCCTCAGTTCTTGTAGAAATTTGCATCAGACAGGTAAGTCCTTGAAAAGATCGATACTGATTATGCTCCAAATCAACCTAAAAGATTAATAACGTGCATCAATAGACAGAACACAGAAATCAAAGTTGCAAAGAAAATCATACCATGAGAAATTCGACAAAGAGTACTATGTTCCATTGCAAATTAACGCCAATCTCTGATTTATTTGATAATAGAGCAACAGATCTTGAATTCATATGCATTTTATTGGTTTCTTCCCCAACTCAAATTAATAAGGCAAAATGAGAGCTTGAGAAGTAAGCATTTGGACCGCCAAACTCGTTTAAAACACAGTCTAAATACAGGCAATACAGAATAATTACTTCTGATCATATATGTTTCTCATAGAATTAAATTAGTAATAGTTTTGTACCGCAAATTCGTTCTCCCGTCGCAATTTAGCTGCCAATTCTTTCAAATCATTAACTTCCTCAATGAATTTGAAAGGGGTGCAATCCAAAGATGGTGGATAAACAGGTTGAAAATCTTCATTAATCTTATCGACAAAGTCCAATACAGATAGCTTCTCCTGCACATACAAGTAAATTGAAGTAAGCAACAACTCTCAACTTCCACAAAATGATTTCTGATCATGAAAAATGGATACACACAATACACATGACAATCAGTTTGAATCCCAACGCATCCCCACTAAACCACAGACCATATTTACAAAGGATAAGCCAAAATCTTCTGGCCATTAAAAGTTGGTCTCGTCTTAAAGGAGCCACTAAAATGTAGTCTTAACTTTCTAAAGTAATGCAAAGCACCAAGGTCAGTTAACATGAGCGAAGCGTAATCTTCTTCCTCCCTTGTAATCAAAATAAATGGAAAAAGTAACACTTTAAGGCCACAGCAAGCCAAAGGGGATTAAACTAACCAGTGGATGTACAAACCGCGAGCCATCTTCACTCCTTTGCAACCAGACATGCTCAAATGGCTGATTTGCATTATTAACCAAAATGTTAAACTCGTCCTGCGGTCTACGGATAGTCGGTATATGAAATGGCACTTTCGGCTTCACCCCCAAAGTTCTCCTGTCTTTGGTAGCAACCTTCACACTAGACTCAAAAGAATCGTGCACCTCGTCTCCATGACTCGGACTCTTCTTCTTCTTCCCACACACCAACTGAAACCCATCATCAGCGTCCGCCGTCAAAGCCACTGCCCTCCCACTCTCCTCCTCCTCCTCCTTTCGAATCCTCTGAAACTCGTCCAGCGACACATCGAACCGCTCCAAAATCTCATCGTTAACATTAACCAACCAATCATACGCGTCGTCGTTATCCTCGGGGAACGCCATTTCCTTGCCCCAAACTTCAGCGGACGAGCCAATGGTCTCGAGCATCGACTGAGATTGCCGGTCGATGCTCCGTATCGGGATTTTGAATTCATCAAAGTTGTAATAAAAGTGAAAGTCTTTGCCAGCCGGAATACCCTGGGAAGAGCCGGCGAGCTTCGACAAAGACGAACCGAGAGAACCACTGGTTAGGGATTGCAGAGTCTGAGCCTTCTGTGAATCAGACTGATCGACGTCCATCTTGTAGCTCAGAGATACCCCGCCGGACGTGAGAGGGATCCCCGTTGAGGTATCGGCGGTTAGGGTTCCGGAGAAGAGTTGCAGAGAAGAACTTCGTTTCCGCTGCGCATATACTTCACTGTGCGAGCGAGAGAGAGAGGAGAAGGAAAACGTTAAAATGAAACTGAAAGAGAAGAAATGGGTAGAGAGAGAGAGAGAGAGAGAGAGAGAAAGGCTATCACGTGAGAGGACCTGACTGCACGTGACCTCGACCCCAATCAGATTGTGTCATAACAAATTAGGTCAATTTCCTCTACTCGGTTTGGCTTTCAATTGGTTCATTTGGCTCATTCAAACTCTTTTTAACGTTGAGGGTTATTGAGAGTGAGTCTCATATTGGTTAATTTAGTCGAAGATCATGAGTTTATAAAACAAATGAATGCATCTATATTAGTATGAGGGTTTATGAAGAAACCCAAAACAAGGTCATGAGAGTTTATGCTCAAAGTGAACAATATCATACCATTGTGGAGATCCGTGATTCCTTGTGGAGAGTGGTGATTTGCAACATGATATCAGAGTTATGCCCTAAACTTAGTCATGTCAATAGAATACTCAAATGTTGAACAAATTGTGTACTTTGTTCGAAGGTTCAAAAAAAAAAAAATTGAGGCTCGATTAAGGGGAGGATTGTTGAGGATTATTAAGAGTGAGTCCCACATTGTGGAGAATGGTGACTCCTAACATTGAAAACCATCGTTTAGCTCATTCGGTTTGAAAGCATTTTTTTTTTATCAAATTGTTTACGATTGATTTTAAGATAATTACAGGTTGTTGGCTTCACGATTAGGTTGTAAGCTCGAGTTTTCAAATCTAGAGATGAAATTGGATCATGTGAAACTAAATCGAAGAACATTCAACGCAAGAAATCTTAGGAGTACCAAGTGAGTCTAATACCGATGGACTAGTTTGATGAAATTATATGTTGCATAAATAATACGTATTTTTTTGTGGTTGTTTACTGCATGTTATTATATTGATATGACTAGGTATGATTTAGTTGATATATTAGGATTCTATATTTGTAAACTTCATGACCATAATGATGTAACCATGTGTATGATTTACAAGGGTATCACGAATGAAAGGCTATGATCTTGTATGTTGCTCTCATAAAGCACATGGGTCGTGATGTGATAGAAGTATTATATGAATCTTCCTGCATAACCATGATTTTTATGCGAAACCTCAAGCATGTTGTGCGTACATCGACCATAGTAATGCATACCTAAAAGAAAGATTTTGGGTCTTATTTCTTCTTAGAGTTCAACTCTACGAGTGTCGGTAAACCTATACGCATGCTTATTATCTGTCCGAGCCCGCATGTGTGTGAATAGACCATACGCCCGCATGTGTGTGAATAGACCATACGCCCGCATGTGTGTGAATAGACCATACGTAGAAAAGTAATATACACCTCAATCTACCCGATAATGAAATTTGAGCCCAATGTACATGATTTTAGATCCTTCAAAATATGAGACTATAATTACATACATTTACATTTTATTACCATAATTTTATTTACGATAAATAGCACGACTTTAATTTTATAAGGATAAAGTAGAGTCGTTACACCATCTCCTCTTTCTTTCAACCCTCCATTTTATTTCTAGATATCCTTCTCTGTTTCCTTCCTTCTAGTGACAATTGTCAATCAATGATTGTATAAATTTGCGTGTTGTACAAACTTGCGTGTGCGTGCGTCTCTATACCTCAAATAAGATGAAAATTTGTGGGACCCCTATGCAAAGAATGGTATTTTTTAAAAACATTTTTCTATAAAAAAAAAAAAAAGAAAAAAAAAATCACAATATTTTTTAAAACTAAAATTGAATGATGATATTTTTGAACGACTTTTAAAAATTAAATGATTATTTTTAAATGATTACTAAAACTTTTGAAAGACAAAATGAAGAGAAATGAAGAGAAATTGAGAGAAATTGAGAGAAATTAAGAGAGAGAGATTTATACTAATGTACCCAAAAAAAAAGAACTCACCAAACATGACAGTAGTAGCTCATGGGGACTTTATTTTCAACCCGAAGTGTCCAAAATTGAACAAGAAAAACCAAGATTCTCGACACTCCTAAAAGCCAAATTCCATTGTCGCGTTGTTCTCTGGGGGCCCCAACTTCGTGTACTCGCAAAAGACAAGGAGATATGAGTTTGACCTCACACGCAGAGCATCAGAATGAACAATCAAAAAAGATGGCCAAACTAGGAAAGCACGAAGAAAGATGAATGTGAGGGTTACCCTTTTAAGTGGAATGGCTGTCACTCTCAGGTAGCTTGCCAACAACACGGACGCGGATGACAGGGATAGAGTCCCACCATTCCTTCAGTCGTCTGTCACCACCGCTGTTGGTATCCTCAGTTTTCTTCCGTAGGCTTGAGGTCATGAAAAAGCCATATAATGTTGACCCCATTATAATGTACTTTGTTGGAACTAATGCCAGTGTTATTGCCACGCCGCATAATACCGCCATTGCAATGTCTGAGTGCTGCAATAATCCCCACAATAATACAAATTGTTTTTACCATAAAACCGTCTGTCTAATTGAACTAGGCTCACAATGACCATCAAACTGAACTATGCTCAGAATGACCATTAGCACGAGAATCATGAACTATGCTCAATGCTCAGAATGACCATTAGCACGAGAATCATGAGCTATGCTCAATGCTCAGAATGACCATTAGCACGAGAATCATGAGCTATGCTCAATGCTCAGAATGACTGCACGAGAATCATGAGCCATGCTCAATATGCTCAGAATGACCATTAGCACGAGAATCATGAACTATGCTCAATGCTATGAGTGACCATTAGCACGATAATCATGAACCTCAATGCTAAGAATGGCCATTAGCATAAGAATCATGAATTCTCATGAACTATGCTCAAAATGACCATAAGCACGAGAATCGTGAACTATGCTTAGAATGATCATTAGTACGAGAATCATGAAAGAGGAACCATTTACCACGAGAATCATGAACTATGCTCAGAATGACCATTAGTACGAGAATCATGAAAGATGGACCATTTACCACGAGAATCATGAACTAGGCTTAGAATGACCATTAGTACGAGAATCATGAACCATGCTCACAATGACCATTAGCATGAGAATCATGAACCATGCTCAAAATGACCATTAGCACAAGAATCATGAACCATGCTCAAAATGACCATTAGCACGAGAAACATGACAAATGTCAAGAAGTTATATGTCGTAACCCATAGAGTGTAACTACTCTATCTACGAAGTGTCCTAACACAAAATAAAGCCACCTTTCAGCGCAAAAAATGTTAAAACTAATGATTTTTTCTAAAATTGTTCATCCCTCCTTTGTGAATTCAAATAAATTTTGTCACACGATTTCAATTTACCTAATAACTATTACCTTCTAAAACCATTTAATAGCAATTCTGTAATCGAAAATCATTGAGGGGGGAAACCAAATACTGATTCTTTCATCCAATATAGACAACTTCTTTTAAATTATGAAACCATGGAAAAGGGGTCTCCGTTACAATACCTAGCAATGTTTTATTTCCATGCATGGGCCTTTCATTGGATGCCATTGGATGTTGAAGACTGAACTTAAAATCTAAACTAGCCAACCTAACCATAAAGAGTTTCGAAGGATTACGACAATAATCAGCCAACTCGACGTAACAACCTGAGTTTTTGGAAATGTTACTTCGACATTATATATTTGCTACCACCTAGTTTGAGCAAATATATGTATACCCAAAGGAATGTAAGATTAAATCTCATGAGAATCGAATGGTTAGATCTTTTTCAAGAAACATGAGAAAAAATTTACTTAGGAAATGTGAGTATACCTTGCGAGTTTTGGATATGAAAATGGACCAAAACTTCAACACTGCAATGTTTACAGTCTTCACAATCTCGTGCACATTTTGCAAACCTTGTTGGGCAGCCACTATGCTCTCCATTGTACTTTGGTCAGTGGCAGTGCAGACCACAATCTCGTCGCAGTTTTCCCGAATCTTTTCCATTCTCGCTTGAAACATCGTCATGACCACCCAAAATAGGAAGGTAGCTACAGCCTTGCCAAACCACTCCCTACATCCGTGAATGTACATTAGTTGGCAACCTTGATCTTGATCCAAGGAAAACTTGAAGAATAGGAGATTTGGTGCAAACAAAATGCTGAACGGAACTTACTTGTATGTGATTATCAAAGATACAGCGAGCACAATAACAGTAGCCACTGGTCTTTCCCATTCAAGAACTTCTTTGAACCAAGATAACCTGCTATTGAGTGGCTTTAGTAGCTCCTATATCATATTATCAGATTGTGATTTTAATATTAATCGCTAAAGAATAAAATTCTTTAAATATTTGCTTAGAATAAGATGCTTACCATGAAGATGAATACACTTTCACCAATTCCCTCCTCTTTCAGTCCTACAGCAGTAGCCTTGGCAACTGCAACTTTCTTCTCTTCTTCTCTGGCCTGATTGACGGCATTCTCTAAGGAGGACCGAGATTCATCAAGTTCAGTACTTATATTACAAAATTTATCTGTTACTTCTACACTAGAGTCGAATAATTGTGACATGTTCAAATATCTCAGGGCTGAAGTTGCACTACATGGCCGTCCACTATTCGGCAACTTCAGATTCTCAGCAAGTTCCTCTAGAACATAGTCGCCCTTTGGTAGCTCGTCACATAAGGCAAAGATTAAGAACTTTGTAGGAACCGGTGGAGATATTCTAAGCAGTTCTCTGGCTGCATGAAGCCTTATAACCCCTAATATTGTTCTTGAATGCATCTCCCATGCCTGTATTGGACTTTCCACATTAAATTTCCGTAAAAAACGATGCAAGAGAACAATCTCCTTTATTAATGCTAGCCAATGATCACGTCTTGTAGAACTTGTTATCTCTGGAAACTCCAGCACAACTTCCTCTAATCTATAACAGTGTGACAATATTTGGATTAATAATAAATTAAAGCATTTCTTTTACACCAATTGCTCAATCATCGCCCAGAAAAAAAAGAAAAAAAGACAAAAAGAAAAAATACTCACATCTCAGGGGACTCGTAGACTATTGCCTTGTCAAATATTGGAGCACCCCAAGGTCCTGTGGAAG